AACAGGCCTGTAGTATCACTTGTATCCTCTAGATGGCAGCAGTGTCCCTGTGTCCTCTTTTTGCTGTTTTGGAACGCATCAGACAAATGAGAGGCTGTTTTTCTTCTGGACTGAGTTGCCTTATGTTCTAAAGTCCTGACAAGGATCTGTTTTCGTGGAGCCGCAACCAGAAGCCTTCAGGTTTTATGTGTTTTGAGGGATCAGACTATTTTTACAGCTCAAAAGCCTACTTTAGTTGCCAAGTCCTCCTTTTTGTTCTTGATCCAAGTAGTAAGTCCTTGAAAAGGCAGCATGTGCAGAATATTCTTCAGAAGGACGGTGCTCGGTGTAACCTGACACAGATCCCAGAAATCTGCAGCGACTTGTGTTTCAGCTGGCTGGGCCGGGGCTTGGCTGTGCTGGAGCCTTGTTGTGCTGGATCACATCCCAAAGCTGGCCTCAGCTCCTGGAGCAGGGTAGGGAGGGGTGAGGGCCTGGTCAGCAGGTTCACTATGGCCGTCTGCCAACTCCTCAACATATAGCAGAGACAGGTTTACACACACAGCAATAGAGGTGGACATCTCCACGCCTGTAAGACGGAGTTTCATTTGGATCTAATTACAATTGATGGATCCAGCTGCTCTGATGTGTGAAGTCACTCAAATATTGAAGATCACTGCTAGACATAACTACTTCATGTGTTTAGTTTTCATTGCACTGTTAGAAAGCTGTCCGATTCATGTTGACCGACTAACGGCTCCCCTCTCACGTGGGATTCCTGGCATTGTTTGCAGCTTTGTCAGGCTTGCACACGTTACCTCATGCAGTTACATTTTTAAAAGCATCAGTAAAATGCTGTGTCTGTGGTTAAAGCTGGCTGAGATCTCCTGCGAGATACCAGTGTGTGAAAATGATGAACTCAACGACTCAGTTTTGGGACAAAGGTGGCTAATGCAGCATGACAAATGGATTTTGTTAGTTGTGTGAAAGAGCCGGTGGCACAGCTTCTCCAGGCTCTTAACATTAGGCAAAGCAGAGCAAAAAAAAGACTCGCAGCTCCAGGTTGAGCTGCAGGAAGTTCAGTTCTGCTCCAGTCAGGCTTTTAATGCATCTTTGCGGCTGTAAACTGATTATTTTGGGTTGTTTTTGTTGGTCTCGCCACTACAAACCAACTCTTTAATCTTCAGCACCTGTGAAACTTGCTTTGACTTTTATTTTTGGAACAAAAGTTATCCTGCTTGATTCAGTTTTCTACAGAAGGGAAACTCGTTTTGGCACAAATGTTTCATTTCCCTCAAATATGAAGTCTTTCCTAAACAGGTATACTGAATTTTCTGAGTAATGTTTTGAATTGTTTGTGTGTCAGTCACACACTTGGAGGTGACCTGTAATCGGAGTTTAAATCCAGCCTCCACATGACTAAATGCTGAACAAATACTGGCTTTGTTCTAGATTGGTAATCTGAATCATTCTTTGAGCCCTGGTGCATTCAGAGCAGGAGGTGACTGTTGTGCAAATACACAAAAAGACGATGTAATTAGGAATGTGAACAGTGAAAATCAAACCATTTGACGACACAGTTCAATATTAATCAGCCTGATCTACCATCATGCTGTATTTTTATACATTTTGCATCGCATTTATTAACTGATGGATTGAGCAGAAATCTGTGTTTTAATATGTCGTGTACAGTTATCAGGGGTTTGATTCTGAGAGTGAAAATCTCAAACCTGTGAGGGTAATTGTCTTTAATCATTTAACAGATCATGGTGAAATCAACTGAATACTTCTTAGCCTCCTATTCCCAACCCAAGTTAGAGCTGAGGAAGCTTCTGAGAGGAGAAACCAAGAAAATTCCAGTTGTGTCCAATGAAACCTTCCAGATTTTCCTGCCCTGGATGACTGAGAATCTACACAAACACATTGTGAATTACAGATTCATATTGACAGGCCAAAATAAAAGGTCATATTTCGTTTTGGACTGCCTTTAGCTTTGATTGCGGGGACGCATTTGTAGTGTGTTTGATGAGCTTCGTCACAAGACTTTTTTTTTCTCAACAGTTCTGAAACTGATGATGGGAGAGTCTGACCACCTCCAGCACATCCTACAGAAATAAGGTCCAGGTCTGGACTCTGTGGTGGCCAATCCACGAGTCATGCTCTTCCACGGATTGAGCCTGATGAATCCAGGCATCGTCATCTTATATGTCTGTGTCTTCAGGGAAGAGAATTTCCATCAATGGAATAACTGGGTTATTCATTATATGCAGGTGGTGAAGTGACACCACCATTCTAGACCTGACCTGGTGCAGCAACCCCACACCAGAAATCCTGGTTTTCTTTGGTCAGGCAGATTTGAAAACTCGTGTTGGTTGTTTTACATTCCGTTAGAGTTGGGAGTAGTGATGCAAAACTGAGACTTTTAAACGTTCTTGTGGCAGATTTTCATTCCAGATTTTATTCATTTTAAATTAGTTCTGAATTATTCAGGCATAAAAATGATCAAAAAGTCAGGATGAAACTTTGTCATTTAAACAGAGCAGAACACATAAGAAATAACCAACAAGATAATGAGGCTCTTTGTTACTAGCAGTCCGTCACAAAGACACAGCTGACTTCAACTTCTTATTCTCGCATATAAAACACAGTCTGACACCAAACTGTACTTAAGCACCAACAACATAATTCCCAAACGATTGGCTGAAAACGTGTGGCTCGATACAAATGATGATGCATCTCTCTAGTCATGTTTGTTGTTGGATCTATTTTAATTTTTCACTTATATCTGCCTAGATCAATGTCAGTCCTAAGATTTTTTTTCTTTTGTCCTCTATTATCTTATTTTTTAAATATATATTATAATCCATCATACCCTATCCAGGTTGAGAACTGGACTGAGAATCTGTGAAAAAGCAGCCGTGTCCGTAGGAATAATTTAAAGAGCTTCAGAAAACCCGATGAATCACTGATCAAATAACAGAATCACAAGAACATCAGTGAACTTGAGGGTGGTTGAAAATGTTTGCACTGTTCCATATAAAACTAAATGTTAAGGGTAAAAATGCTAAATGAAACTTAATGATGTGGAAGTCTGCATTCCTAGAAATCTGTGGAAAGAACACAACTTGTAAATTAATAAACAGGTTTGCTATAAAATACATACATGAATGCTTAAAATGCAACACAGACTTATTTAACAACAACAACAAAAGGGTTTTAATGGTGGATTCAAAGTCATTCAATCCTGTTGTCAAAGTTTGGAACAAGACTTCTATGTTCCGTAATTATCCGCTTCTACGTAAATGGGTCATTCGGGTATTTCACTTGAAAAAAGGGATTTGTGATGTCACGTCTCTCACGCGATCCGGGACGGGTGTTTCGCTCGTGCAGTGCCGCTGACCCACGCTGTACGGCAAGCCGATTTCTTATTTAACGATTGGAGCGTTCAAGCAGACATGCTTTCTAGTTCAGTTGTTTTCTGTGGCAGTTACCATGTAGGCTATCCTGAATATAATTTGTTCTGAGTACAGATAATAATTCAGACATTTGAAACAAAATTAATCTTCCTAAGGCTTCATTTGTAGTGAAATTACAAATCTGAGAAAGTTTTCTGTATATTTAAAACAACATATCCGTAAGTGAAATTGAAAATATTACCCAGCATATCAGTATTCATATGTAACTAAAGTCCTTTAAGATATCAGTGATTAGAGCTATGAACAATTAGTCAATATTAATACTAATATGTGCAGATATTTTGGATATCTGTTCTAATTTAGTGGGATTTCATTTAATATAAAGAAAGTGATATTAAAATTGGATCTAATAATATTTACATTACAAGTAAAAGAAGAGGAAAATATCTTCTATAGCGCCTCTCAAGATAAAAATCACGAGGCGCTATAAACGAGATGCAAGTTTCTTTAATTATGAAATCTATTTCAGCAATCAACGCTTTTCATTTGCAACGCATCTCAACCTAAGCTGTTTTATATTATTTTTAGAACTGTTATTAACCAATTTTACTTATTACAAAGATAAGTAAATATGATTACAAGGAACGCAGATACTTACCAATGTGTATTAGGACTTGTGGGAAGTGGTTTGAATTGGCTAAGTTTGACAGGTAACAACAATTAACATTTCATAAAATCTAAATATTTTGAGGCATTTGTGTATTTTTGAGACTCTTATTATGAACAATTAAACTGTTTTTATACTCCTTCACTCTGAACGCTATATGGACGCAATCAAACGCTTCTCTTATTAAAGTGGAATCTCAGACACTTTGTTGGTTCTGTTTGATTCAGGGTATTGTGTCACTCCAGATGGACAAGGTGGCTACTGCAACAAGCAAACACTGCAGGTGCCATCTTTTTTGGTTCTTTTTTAAAACACAGGAAAGGTTTCTCTTTACCTTGCTGACAGTTTCGTTTGCGAAAAATAGAATGAGAAGCCAAACACAGAAAGAACGTACCAAAAGATGCCATCATTCCTCTTTAGGAGGCTGGGTGATCACAGTAGTGCACAGGTGTGATGACAAAATTACATAATTGTCTACATACAGATACTATGTATAAAGTATATTTTAATAAGATGTTATAATCATGAGCGCTCAAATAGCTGCAGAACTAGTGCCTTGCCAGTACCACTTCTAAACTCTGGTGCTTATTAACATTAACAATAACTTTTACTTCCACCTACTGAGCAGAAGAACATAATAACCACATATAATTCTTTTAAATAGTTTCTTTTTTTTTCAGGTCACACAGAAAACAAACACCCAGATCCTCCAACAACAGCAACATAAATACAGTTAGGGATGGGCACTGCAAATAATCTTTTGATTTTTAATTTCATGCCTAACGTTAATCTCGCCAGTTCCTTCTCGCTTATTTTAGACTATTTCTTAAACGCTAGTGTAGATTTTAACGTCCACAAAAAAGCAAGGTGTGTGGTTGTTTATGTGATGCAATGGCCTGCCTTAACCCAGTGATCACAGTCCTCTGTGCCAGTGGCCTCCTGCCATATTTATTCATGCCGGGCAAGATGGCGGCGATACGGACTCGATGTTATTGCCAGTGAACATAAAAATTTTATTCAAAATACAAGACCGAGTCAGAGACTTGTACACACCCGGCCGCGCTGTGTGTGTCTTTACCACGTGACAAGCGTCGAAGTCTCTTCATTTTGCACGCTTTCGAGGTTAATTTTCTGACTAAATGTTCACGTTGTAAGTCGCTCGCTAACAGAGCATTAGTAACAGCCATCCATCAGAGCCAAGCCGCCGTCAAGTGGAGAATGGGAGAAAAGCTGGAGCTCAAGCTCAAATCGCCAGTTGGAGCAGAACCCGCCGGCTACCCCTGGCCGTTACCAGTATACGTAAGTGTTGACTTCCGACACTCCGCTGTGACATTTTTACGCTTTTGCCTTTGTTAGCTCGTGGCTAACACGGGTTAGCAGCAGCAGCAGAAGAGGTGACACGCTCCTCCGGGGAAGAAGGGGGTGATTTGGGTCGTACGAGGTGGTCTCGACGGTGACAGTCACGGATTGCTTTTGTGCTAACACGAGCATTTATTTAGGAAGAAACTGAACGGTTCGCTAAATCATACCGAGAGTAATAAGATCTCAGGGTCGTAATCAGACGTCTGGCTATGTTAAATATTCCTGTGCATTAAGTATATTCGTGTTTAAATGCTGAAAGTGATTTGATTTTTATTTGTTCTCCCTCAGTATGTCAGTTGAAAACAACTATAGCATACACAGCATTGTGTACATGGCGTACTATTGGTTCCTGCATGCAGGAGCAGTTCTCAGCCCACTGGGGTGTTGGATAAAACGCTCATTTGGGGGATCGGTCCTATAAACGGTGTGTTGTCACCCCTCCGTGTGTTTGACTCTGCCTTTTTCCTTCCGCGATGGGAGGTCAACAGATTCGCATTCCTCACGTTCTTCTAGTGTTCAGTCATTCAGTATTATCCCCATGAGTGAAAACAGCTGAGCCGTTTGGTATTTTATACTCCAAACACATGGCTGATACCTGATCTGGCCATGTTTGTGCAGCACTAGTCATGCCTAGCCTTTGCCTAGACAGAGGAGAAGCCTTTTCTATCGGTTCTGTGAAGTTGTCTGCAGCATGCTGGTGTTAGAGAGGAAGCCAACGAATAGACATAGAAAGCAAAGCAGTTTGCAAGTTATGTGGTTTTTCATAGTGATGCTTTAAACTGGGTCTCATTTATAGTAACTGTGGTGCAGCACTGACTGAACAAAAACATTAAAAAAATGATTTCTCAGAATTTGTGAGTAGGGTATCTTTGTAGTACCTCTCTCCACCTGCATTAAACTCCTGTTTCGTCAATCTGGTTCTTTCGGTTACATCGTTTTGTCTGGTATGTCCTGAGTGAGTTTCCTAGTCACCTACAGCTTAGGTGACTCATGTGCTTTTTGTTCTTATGGGGTTTAAAGGTGAATAAAAGGCGAAATGTGCCAGACATTACTGTGTTCTAGCTGAATGTACCATTCCTGTTTTTATTGAATTGGAAGCAGGCGATGCATGTGGTGTCTGAAGTAAGGAGCACATTAACATGGTGCTCTCCTCCTGTTTTCAAAGGGAAAGACTTCCTCTCTCTTCTCCCTCCTCACTTGTCCATATGGTCAAATCTGCAGGGAGGAAGCCATCAGACTGTTTCTGTGCAGCTATGCTTGTATTAATAGATTGCAAACACCTGAGCCAATGTCTTTGCTAAAATATATATTTTTTCCAGCCACATTTATGGTCAAGTTTAACGTGAGTTGAAGTGCCTGCTGCTGGTAACAGCAGCTCCTCCTTTGCTCAGATTATCTTTCTCTACACCCACAGAGCTTGAAATTGGTTATCTCACCCACAGAGCATGAACGCGTTGCTGTCTCTGTGTTGATGTGCATGTTGCTTGCACCGTCTGTTGGAGAACAAGGCGTGCCATTACAACCAAGCCCATGAAAAATGCTTTCCTTGGTTTATTGATCTGGTTTGTCCTGTCTTTAGTCTGTCTCTTTAAACTCCCCCCCCCCCCCCCCCCACACACACACACGTGCATCTGTAAATGCTTCCATATGAAGTCCATCTGCTTCTAGGTCCTTACATATACAAGAATCATACAATTTAAAAAAAGCCTTTTAGATACTGTCAAGCTCACAGTTTATTGAGGTTTCTTGCTAACTAAAAGCAACCTGGTAATTTTAACAGTTTCCTCTGAAGCCAGTTGAGTTCTTCTTGTGAGACTTCTGGTCTCCTGTGCTTAAATGTCAAGATAACTCATCGGGTTGTTTACCTTTAAACGTCTGAAGAGATAAGCTAGCATGATCTTTGTTTCCAAAAATGATCAGTAGTATTTTCTGTTAAGTCAGGGTAGATCTCGTCTTAGTCATACAAAGTGGGGGAGTGTAAAGCCCCCACACCCACTGTGTCACACTGATGTGACAGGAGATTGACGCACGCGCGTGTGTGTGTGCGTGTGTGCGTGTGCGTGTGCGTGTGTGTGTGTGTGTGTGTGTGTGTGCGTGCAGGCGGAGTTGTACGTGCATCAGTCGGAGCTACAGTCTCACTCTGGCATGTCAGGCGGAGTTTATTTTTAGCAGCAGCTCTGCACTGGTTGTTGCTGTGTGCCGTCTTTGTGTGTGCAGGTGATCTCCCCCCTTTTGCTTGGTTTCACTGTCTCTTTTGTACAGTTGCACACTTTATATAGCTTCAAAACATTTCATATAATATGTAGCTTGTGTTTGTCAAGAAGTCTTTTAGCCTCTGCTGTTTTAGCTACTGCTACCTATGCCAGAAGAAGAAGAAGTAGAAGGTGGAGCCGTTTGATGTTGATATTGTGTTTTAGCTGAGGTGGAAGTTTTGCATAATTGTGGCGGGCGATTTTGAGCGGGGAAGTCTAGGCTATGAGCTGTTAGCTGTGGTTCCTGTTCCAGGCTTTAAAAGAAAACAAAACTGTCAAATAACTGGTTTCCCTGCTTTCCCCGGCCCCTTGTTTTCTTCGGTTTGTAGTTTGTGCTCTTTTCTTCACTTGTTCTGCATTGTTTTCTTTATTTTTTTCTTTTTTCTTCCCACCCAATTCTCCTTGGCGATGTACAGGAACAGGAGACAGAAAGTGGGTCAGTGGGTCAGCCCAGGCATCGGGTTCAGGCTGGCCTGGTGAAACCTGAGTTCTGTTAACTCCAACAGAACCATTCTGCTCCTGCTGAGAATACTATCTAAACATATGTAGGTGCAGAAAAAATAATTATTTTTTTGCTTAAATTGAACTCAGAGATGATTTAGTGTATCATTCAGCAGATGGACAGCATTGATGATCATGCTCTTAGTGGTCATGCACACACTGTAGATGTCCAGACACGAGTAGAGCTGAAAGTCAGACCTTTAAAGATAAACCATGTTGTTCAAACACCTCCAGCAAAATTAAAGAAAGCACATATTTGACATAAAGATTAGCTCCACATAGGGCTGCTCGATTATGGCAAAAATAATAATCACGATTACGGTGACTGAAATTGAGATCACGATTATTTAGGACGATTTTTCAATTTATGTTGATTTTATTTGTTTTTATTCAGTCATAAAACTGCTCAGGGCACAATCAGGACAAAAAATAAACAAGAAACAAGATGATCACTAAAATAACTCCTGATTCCCAGTATAAAAAGACCAATATACTTATGGCTCATAGTTTATGACCCAATGGCTATAGACCTTGGTTTAACTCATGTAAGTCTAACCAGTACATACCCAAATACCAATATCTTGCAAATACTGACAGCAAGAATTATACAGTGGCATTTATAACAAATAAATGCAAATAAATTGATGTTCACAAAATGTTGCAACATTTATTTAGTCGTGTCAAGGTGCTGTAGGAGAGTACACTAGCACCGTGTCCTCAGAGAGATTAGTTATTATTTATCAGCATGAGGAACTTACTTCTATCTATTTCTACCTTATTTATAAACTATTTATTTACAGGTCCATCAGTTAATGTAATAATTGTCCCAACCACAGCTGCACCCCCACCCCCCAACCCGGTTTCACAGCAATCGGGCAAGCTGCACGTGTGCTTAGCATACCGCACACGCACATTTAGCCGTTTTTAGTGGCTCAGGAGTCCGCAGGTGCGGTGTGTGTGTCACTCACTCTGGTTAATCCAACAGGGAGCCGGCTCCGAGAGCCGCTTCTTTAGCGACTGACACATCACTGCATCATTCCCTTTCCTAATGTCCTGAAGAACGGTCCGGTGCGCAGGCGGAGTGTTTAGCTAACCTGCAGGAAATGTCGACGACAGTTATCCAGAAAGTAGCTAAGGGTTACCAGAGATGTTTCGAGGTGTTCGCTAGGTACTTTTAGGATTAAAAAGTCAAGAAGGGGGTCTGAAAAGCTGTTGGAAATAGCGTCACAGTCGCTAAGTTGGCAACACTGTGGAGGAGCGCTTCATTTGCAACTCAGGGCAGCGCAAGCGGGAGGAGCAAATAATCGGCTTGTTTTGTTTTTTATAATCGTTCAAAACTCAGATCGTAATCGTGATTAAAATACGATTAATTGAGCAGCCCTAGCTCCACAGGGATTTTTAAGTTTATGGGAGTTGGGACGTAATCCCATGTCTATATGACCTAAAGCCTTTCTGCAAAAATACACCTGGAGCTAGCATCAAATTAATTAAGACTCCATAAAACAATTAAGTATAAAACTAGCCCCGATGTCTCTTTAAATTAGGGATGGACAATATATCAGTATCAATAGCGGTATTGGCTGATGTCAGTAATTTTTTAACATATCGGTATCGCTCCGATAAAAAGAACCAGGCGGATATTATTAACCAATATTTTTTCCATCTTGTCACCATTTGTTTGCCTGTTTCAGAGGGTGAGGGGGGTGATGTGTATTTGTATAGTCATGTGACAGTGATTGGAAATCATGAATGTGTGTTGTGTGTGTAGCAGCCCCTTGACATCCAAACAATATGCAGCGAGAGAGTTTCGACGGGTGAAGACTTGTTTATTTCCATTCTTCACTTAGTTTGTCACACAATATTGTGAGTACAATGAGGACTTTAAAGGACCATAAAACACAGTGAAAGCTACAAAAGAGCAAGCAATTACAACACGATTGTTGAAACTACCAGTATTCAGTAAATCATAATACATACAAAGTCTTCTTTTCATGCTAACATACCTCGTTTCGCTTGCCAAGGGATGCAAACTTTATCAAAACTTTAGCCACTCTGCCATAACATGCAGCTGGCTTAAAACATTTGGGAAGCTGAGGACATCATAAGAATAACAGTTTTAAACTTACATTTGCATGTTAAAGTTGCATGTTAAAGTGTCAAACACTTACGTGTTTGTGGAGCTCA